TGGGTGATTTCTGGGTGATTTTGGTCCCTCCCCGCAGGACGAGGTCGCTCACACGGTGACCGAGAGCCGCGTCCTGCAGAGCTCGCGCCACCCCTTCCTGACCGTACGTACCGGGGGATGGGAAATTCGGGAATTTGGGGAGAAAATCGGGAATTTTGGGACAATTTGGGGAAATCCCCGTCCTGGGAAATGGGGGAAATATGGGAATTTTGGGGAAAATCTGGGAATTTTGGGAAAAATCGGGAATTTAGGGAAAATCGGGGAAATCCCCGTCCCAGGAAATGGGGGAAATACGGGAATTTGGGGGAAAAATTGGGAATTTTGGGAAAATTCGGGAAATATCTTCCCCTGGGAAATGGGGGAGAAATGGGGGAAAAAATCGGGAAATCTCCCATGGGAAATGGGGGAATCTGGGAATTTGGGGAAATCCCCCCAGGGAAATGGGGAAATGCAGGAATTTCAGGAAATCTGGTCTGGGAAATGGGGGAAATTGGGGAAAATCTGGGAAAATTCAGGAACTCTCCCCTGGGAAATGGGAGGAAATGCAGGAATTTTGGGAAATCCCCCCTGGGAAATGCAGGAATTCCATGAAATCTCCCCAAATTCCCGTTTTTTCCGGAGCAGGCGCTGAAGTACGCGTTCCAGACCAACGACCGCCTCTGCTTCGTGATGGAGTACGCCAACGGCGGGGAGGTGGGGCCGTGACCCCAATTTTAGCATTTCCCACTTCTCCCCTCATTTTCCCCATTTCCCCTTTTTTCCCCACCTTTTTCCTCATTTCTACCCCATTTTCCCATTTTTCCCCGAATTTTCCCCATTTTTCCCAGCCCTTTTCCCACCTTTTCTCCACCATTTTCCCCCTCATTTCCCCCTCATTTTTCCCCGTTTCCCAGGTGTTTTTTCCACCTTTCTCCCCATTTTCCTCCCCATTTTCCCATTTTTCAGATTTTTTGCTCATTTTTCCCCGTGTCCCAGCTGTTTTTTACACCTTTTTCCCCATTTCCCTCCATTTTTCCTTTTTCCCCTCATTTTCCCCATTTTTCCCAGCCGTTTTTCCCATTTTTTTCCCATTTTTTCCCTCAATTCTCCCCAATTTTCCCATTTTTCCAGTTGTTTTTCCACCTCTCCCGGGAGCGGGTTTTTTCCCATTTTT